GGGGGCAGGGAAGGAGGGAAAGGGGCAGAAAATGTGGGGCGGGGGCAAGGAAGCAAGGGAGGGGGCAGGAACGGAGGGGAGGGGGCTACACCGGAGGGGAAGGTTAGGGAAGCGGGCGGAGGGGGCAGAGAAACTGAGGAGGGGGCAGGGAAGGAGGGGAGGGGGCGGCCTGCCCCACCCCTGAGCCAAGACCCCCCCGGCCCCCTCCCAAAGAGCGGGGCTGCGGGTGGGAAAGAGACCAGGATCCGACCTAACCCATCCGCGGATGGGGGACCACCAGGAGACCCACCCCGGCTTTCCCTCGCTCCCCCCCCCACTTGGTTCAGCTCGGCGCTGTATTGTTGGGGAAGGGGCTGTCTTACCACTTGGGGGGGGACTCTCGGGGGTGGATACAGCCCTAGGGATACCCCCCCCTCTCTCTACCAGTTCTGCCCCCCCGGGCCAAATCTGAAGGTGCAAATCGGGGGGGGGGGTCCCAGCCAATTTGGGGACCCCTCCTCTCCCTCTAGGCGGGGGTATAACCCTGAGGCTGGGCTGGGGGTGATGCTCCCTGGGAGGGGGGCTGCCCTGTGGACCCCCCCAGGACCCCTGCAAGCGGTTTCTGGGAGGGGGGGACCATCTGAGTGGAGAGGGGGGGAGAGAGACACTTTGTGCATGCTCAGAGGCTTGGAAGCAGGAGGGTGGGGTGCGATCTCCCAGCCAGCCCCCTCCCATCAGGTCAGGAAAGACAGGCAGAGGGCGTTGGGGAGGGGGGGAGTGGGCAGGAAGGGGAGGGGGCAGGCCTAGCAGGAAGGGGAGGGGATAAGAGGGGGGAGGGGCCGAAGGGGGGGCAAGGCGAGAGGAAGAGGAAGTGACGTTTTGGGTGGGGGGGGCACAAAGGGAGGGCCAGTCTGGCTACTGGGGTTGTGGGGAGGGGGCAGGGAAGAGAAGCCAAAAATGCTAATAATAATAATAATAATAATAATAATAATAATAATAATAATAATAATAATAAATATAATAATGATGGTGATGATAATAATACATAGAATAGAATGTTAGAATAGGATATTAGAGTATAATAATAATGATAATAGAATATAATGATGGCAATAATAATAAATAGAATAGGATATTAGAATGGGATATTAGTATAATAATAAATAGAATAGAATATTAGAATAATAACAATAGAATATTAGAATATAATGATGGTGATGATAATAAATAGAACAGAATGTTAGAATAGGACATTAGAATATAGTAATAGTAATAAAACAATAATGATAATAATAAATCGAATAGAATGTTAGAATGGGATATTAGAGTATAATAATAGTAATAGAATCCAATAATGATGGTAATAATAATAGAATAGGATATTAAAATAGGATATTAGAATAATAATAATATAACAACAACAATAATGATAATAGAATATTAGAATATAATAATGATGGGGATGATAATAATAAATAGAATAGAATGTTAGAATAGGATAGAATATAATAATAGTAATAGAATATAATGATGGTAATAATAAATAGAATAGAATGTTAGAATAATAATAACAGTATAACTACAACAATAATAATAGAATATTAGAATATGGTGATGATGGTAATAAAAAATAGAATAGAATGTTAGAATAGGATATTAGAATATAATAATAGTAATAGAATATAATAATGATAATAAAAGAATAGAATGTTAAAATAGGATATTAGAGTATTATAATAATAGTAATAGAATATGTTTTCATCCTTTCTTTCCCATCCTTTCTTTCCTTCCTTCCTTCCTTCCTTTGTTTTTCTTTCTCTCTTTCTCTGTCTCTCTCTCTCCCTATCCATTTCTTTCTTTCTTTCTTTCTTTCTTTCTTTCTTTCTTTCTTTCTTTCTTTCTTTCTTTCTTTCTTTCTTTCTTTCTTTCCCAAGTGTAATTGGACAGACAACAAATTTGTACAGAATCCTTCCTTCCTTCCTTCCTTCCTCATTTTCCTTCCTTCCCTCCTTCCTTCCTTCCTTCCTTCTGTCTGCCCCAGTCGCGAGTGTGAAAGACGCTCCTCAATCCCCCTCCACCTTTTATTTCCTCCCCCCCCCTTCCCGGCGACGTTTGTAACGTCCCAACGTCACTAAGCGAACTGCCATACCTGCACCAACTTAAAAGGGATTCACCGAACCGGGAGGGGCGGGGCAAGGGAGGGCGTCAAATGGGGGCGAAGCTGGCTTCGCGAGCGTGTCTCGCTTAGCGACGGAAATGTGGGGAGGGTGTTTCGATCGCGGTCGTACATCGAGGACCTACGGGAGTTACTCCCAGGACCCTAATCCCCGGCCGGCCTTGATTCCCCTAGGTGCCGGTGCGGGCCGAGGACCCGGCTTTCCATCCGGTGGCCGGACACTGGCGAGGCTGGACGGGACGGCACGACGACGCCATGCGGGAGAATTACGGCGCTGCGATGGCTCCGGGTAAGTTGCCAATTACACCGGGAGCGCCAGTTTCCCAGGGGGTTGGGCTAGATGACCTCCGAGGTCCCTCTGTCATTCTGCGATTCTGTCAGGGTCTCCTGCTCAAGCAGGGGGTTGGGCTAGATGACCTCCGAGGTCCCTTCCATCTCTGTCATTCTGTCAGGGTCTCCTGCTCGAGCAGGGGGTTGGGCTAGATGACCTCCGAGGTCCCTTCCGACTGCGATTCTGTCAGGGTCTCCTGCTTGAGCAGGGGGCTGGGCTAGATGACCTCCGAGGTCCCTTCTAGCTCTGTCATTCTGTCAGGGTCTCCTGCTTGAGCAGGGGGTTGGGCTAGATGACCTCCGAGGTCCCTTCCATCTCTCTGATTCTGTCAGGGTCTCTTGCTCGAGCAGGGGGTCAGACTAGATGACCTCCGAGGTCCCTTCCATCTCTCATTCCGCGATTCTGTCAGGGTCTCCTGCTCGAGCAGAGGGTTGCGCTAGATGACCTCCGAGGTCCCTTCCAACTCTTGTTATTCTATGATTCTGTCAGGGTCTCCTGCTCGAGCAGGGGGTTGGGCTAGATGACCTCTGAGGTCCCTTCCATCTCTGTCGGGGTCTCCTGCTTGAGCAGGGGGTTGGGCTAGATGACCTCCGAGGTCCCTTCCAGCTCTGTCATTCTGTCAGGGTCTCCTGCTTGAGCAGGGGGTCGGGCTAGATGACCTCCGAGGTCCCTTCCATCTCTGTGATTCTGTTCAGGGTCTCCTGCTCGAGCAGGGGGTTGGGCTAGATGACCTCCGAGGTCCCTTCCGACGGTTCTCCTTTTTCGTTCCCCTTTGCAGGTGCACCGCTCGGCAAACCGGAGATGGCCCCCCACCAAGGGGGTCCCTTGCCAGGCAAGGGGCAGGGGGCAGCGGAGACCCGGCACACCCCTGATGCAGGTCTGTACACCCGGGGTCCGAGGGCGAATCCTGGGTGACGGGGGTTGGAGGTCACAGAGGGCTGGGTGACTTGGAGTTAATCGCCAGGCGACGGGGAGTTCTAGTCCCGCCTTAGGCAGGAAAGCCGGCCGGGTGACTTTGGGCGTCCTTCTTTCTCATCCCGGCCCGCCTTGCAGAGTTGTCGTTGTGGGCAAAAGAGGAGAAGGAAAGTGTGTTTAATATGTCACAATCTTGAGTTATTTGCAAAATAACAATAATAGGCACTTGAAAGTATCCAACCTGGAACCCTACTCTTCTCCATTTTATTTTATTTTATTATTTTATTTTATTATTTTATTTTATTTTATTTTATTTTATTTTATTATTTATTTTGTTGTTTTATTTTGTTTTTTATTTTATTTTATTTTTATTTCGTTATATATATTATTTTTATTTTGCTATATGTTATTTTTATTTCATTTTATTGATTCGATTTGATTTAATTTTATTTTAATTTTATTATAGTTTATTTTAATTTGGTTTTTTATTCTATTATTTTGTATTTATTTTATTTATTTCATGGTTTTTTATTTTATTTTATTTTTATTTCATTCTATTTTATTTTTATTTGATTGATTTGATTTGATTTCACGTTATGTTAATTTTATATTTTATTTTAATTTAATTTTCTTTTCTATTTTGATTTATTTTGTTTTATTTTTTTTGTTTTTTATTTTGTTTTATTTTTATTTCATTTATTTTTTTAATTTAATTTAATCTAATTTTAATTTTATTTCATTATATTTTATTTTTATTTTATTTTATTTATTTTATTTTTATTTCATTATATTTTATTTTTATTTTATTTATTTTATTTAACTATTTTAATTTTATCTTTTATTTTATTTTAATTTTGTTTTTATTCTATTATTTTTATTTATTTTGATTTGATTTTATCATTATATTTTATTTTTATTTTATTTATTTTAATTTAATTTAATATAATTTTAATTTAATTTTGTTATGTTTATTTTTATTTTATTTTATTTTATTTTATATTTTATTTTAATTTAATTTTGTTTTATTTTATTTTGATTTAATTTACTTTATTTTTTTGTTTTTTATTTCATTTTATTTTATTTTTATTTCATTATATTTTATTTTTATTTTATTTTATTTAGTCTAATTTTAATTTTACTTGATTATATTTTATTTTTATTTTATTTTGTTTTATTATTTTGATTTGATTTATTGATTAGTTTTATTTCATTATTGTTTTATTTTGTTATTTTATTTTACCTTAAATTTATTTTATTCCATTTTTTATTGTTTTAATTTTTTTGGGCTTTATTTGATTTTATTCTATTGTTTTCTGTTTTATTTCTGTTTGATTGTTTTCATTTCTTGTGTTGGTTTCGTTTTCACTTTTTTGGTTTTATTTTTACCTCATGTCATTTTCGCTTCTTTTATTTTTTATTATTTTCTTTTTTACTTCCTTGGACTGTGACTTCATTTTATTGCATGATCTTATTGTTGTTTTATTTTTTAATTCTCTCTCATTTCTTATTTTTGGTTTTATTTGATTGTGAGGTTTCCTTTTTTTTATGGTTTTGTTTTATTTTACTTTAATTGACGGTTTTATTATTTTTTTTAATAGCTTTTGATTTACTTGTATCTTCTATCTTGATTTGCCTCATTTTGCCAGATTCGGGCCCTCCGGGATTCGAACCGGCCGTCAAGAGGGACCAGCGGTTCCAGGAGGCGGCAGAGAGGCCCGTTGGGCCCGAAGACCCAAAGGACCCAAGCAAGAGCTGCCCAGGTGAGGCGTGGCGTCACACCTGAGAATCCAGGACCCGCACCGTAGGGCAGATCAGCTTGTAGATCCTGGGGTCCCTGCGGGCCGTGGCCCATTACCAGTGTGTGCGTGTGTGTGTGTGTGGACACTCTGCCCCCCACTCGCGCTGGGGCGGCCATGAGCGTCGTGCGGGCGCTACCCCCGCCCCCAGCGTCGCGTGGGTGCTAAACACACCCTGAGCGTCACGCAAATCCTAGGCTCGCCCTGAGCGTCACACGAGCGCTAGGCACGTGCCCAGCGTCGTGCGGGCGCTAAACACGTGCCTAGGGTCACGCGGGCGCTAGCCATGTGCTCAGCGTCGGGCGGGCGCTAG